ACACTAAAAGTAGTGGTGTTCTGAGCAAACAAATACAAAAATATTGACGGCTCCTTTATTGTTGGATTTTGTTTTTTTGAAATAAAGCTATATATATGCTATATATATCTATAAATATATATATTCTGTCTCAAATCGAAGGTCGTATTGCGTAGGTTGTCTAAACTTGGTAATTACAGTAATTGGTAATTAGTGACTCAGTATTGACCCAATTCCTTTTTGGGAAGTTTCTGCTTTTTTGAAAAAAAAAAAGTGCATCCTTTATGGAAATAAAATTCCTCCACAAGGCCCGAGGTGTCCTATGAAATTTCCAGATTTTGGCCTTGTGCCCAGGCTTAATGGCCTTGTGCCCTAGAAAAAATATGAATAGCCAAGGCCAAAGTGGCTGTGCCCTCCTAAATCCTTATGTCTAGCCCTGTAAGCACATTTATCAAAACAATAATTTGTAAAGTAAGAAAATAAATGTATCCAAACAATGTGTAAAGTTAAAAAAAAACGTGTCCTGCCAACTATGTGTATATTAAAATAAGAAATCTTTATTTTTAAATGTATTTTATTATATAATAATAATTACTGTTACTGTCTATCATTGTCTAAATGAATTTTTACTGTCTAAATATATGTATTCAGCTAGTGTAAACATGCACGATGCTATCACAGCGCATGCGAGGCTTAGACTGAAGCTTTACCGTTTCAGCCGAGAGACGTGCCGCGTGACTCATTTCCCCGCGCGTACAAGTTATCTTAGGTCGGCGTTCACGGTTTGACTTCTGAGATTCAGATCGAGTTCTAGGTAATTTTTTTTCCCCGAACTGGTTGGTTCGACTTTTAAGAAATTCGAGTTCTGAGTTCGAGAACTAAGGTGTAGCTGTCGCCAGGAAATTGGTGCTCATGCATTTATTTAATATTTATTTGAATTTTGTTTAGTGAATGTATTTTGTTTCATTTTGTTGGCAACATGTTGTTATTTGTAATATTACTTGTAAAGGTTTAATTTAGAGTGTTTCTTGTAATAGTGCCTCCTACTGTTCAGTGGAACAAGCTATTTATGTAATCACATGACCTAGTGTAATGAGCAGCGGAAGGAAGGCCAGGTTAGGAAGCAGAGTGAACAACGGCTAAGAAAAGAAAATCAAAAAGGATTGAAAGAAAGATGTAATGTAATGCAGTAATGTCTCCTAACTCTGGTCAGAAGGAGCACACGGTATGTCACTGTTTTTGCCATTTCTTGTTTTAATATGTATGTTTAATATGTATGTTCGTTGAGTTTGCGCTGTCTTGTATACACAGTAGAAGCATGTACATTGCTTACTTAAGACCCGCAAATGATTATTGTATGTGTAACGGTGGAAGAATTTTGTAGAGATGAAGTTGTAATGGTGGTGTTTCTTTATTTCAGTTTTTCACGGTGTTTCATGGTGTGATTTGTTACGTCGATGGAAGAAAAATAAATAAAATTATCGCGCTAAACATCAGTTGAATCGTGAACTAATTTCTGACAGAAGAAAAATTAGGAGCCGTTATATAAGGTACCACTGTATGTAAATGCAGCTTGATGGAGATAAGTAGACTTTATTTCTTCTGCATACTGCATTCCATTATATAGACTTAAATGTCAAATAAACAATGAATGTCAGCCTCCTTTACAGCCCTTTTGTTATCGCTAATGTGCCATTAGTGTTAATAACAGCGGTGAATCTAACACCCTGAATCAAAAAGGGAGTCGGGAAATTATAAAGTTAAAAAGTTTTTATAAAATACAAACTGTTTGAAATGTTGGATAAATAGATGTAGTCTATATAAACAAAACTGGTTTCAAAATAGTGGATCAAAAATCTTTAGGTATTTATTTCAGTGTAATTATGTGTATTGTATTACATATTGAATGTAGGACACTGGTGATTTAATGTTTGTCAAAGTTTCTGCTTTTTAACAACTATAAAGCAAGGTAATTTTTTTATATGAATCACCCCAGGTGAAACACTTAATAATAAAGTATGTTTTTATTTAAAATGAATTATAAATTGTATTTAAATATTACATAAAACTTACTGCAATAAATATAATGCAAAACAAATGAGACACACAGCCGACACTCGCAGTCCATTAGTGGTGTGCAATACTACAAGATTTGGTATCGATGCGATACCAAGTAAATACAGGGAAAGTATCGCCGATACGATACCAATATCGATACTTCTTAATAATTAAGGTGGATGCATCATCAAATTGCTAAAGCTGAATTAATAAGAACATAAGAACTATACAAACGAGAGGAGGCCATTCGGCCCATCGAGCTCGCTTGGGGAGAACTTAACTAATAGCTCAGA